TTTGTGACGGCTCTCACTCATGGTGCTGTATTTCCTTGTCTGTTTTTATGAGCTTTGGCTATGAGCCTGCGCTTTGTAGAGCCGTATCTGTGAATTCATTGAGGCCTGAGTTGCAGGTGGGCTCCTTCGGAGAGTCTTCAGAGTGAAGTTTTGGGGACCTCCCAGGGTGGTGTGACTCAGGGCTGAAACCTGAGGCTGGCTTTGTTCTGGCACCCCTGGGTGCAGCCTTCATTCCAGTTTAGCCAACACTGAGCCCGTGGCCCTGTGGGGTCTCGTCTTTCTTCGGATGCTCCGTGGAGGATATGAACCTTGGGAAGGCCCTACATTTTATCCTTTGTGGGCCCAGGGGCCTTGAGAGCAGGAACTCCAGGTCACTGGTACAGCAGATGTCCTCAGGGCAGGAGCCAGCTGCAGGCTCCACAGACCTCACTAGGTTAGACTTTTTCACTTTGTGCTTGTCCTCTGAAGGTTCCAGACTTTTTGAAAATCAACGTAGTGATGTATTAAAGATTTTGTGTTTTTTTTATTTTATCAGTATTTTCATTTGCTCTGTTGGGGGAGGGCCAGTCAGGGTGCGCATCCTGCTGGGAAGCGGTGCCTCTCCAGTCTGTGCTGGCTGTGGGACGCCCAGGGCCCTTGGGGGCCTGCTGGAGGCGGTTCAGGTGGGGCCGCACATCCTGTCTGAGGCACTTCCAGAATCCAGGCTGCCTGTCCTTGCTCTCTCCCACACACACCGCCGGGACGGTGAGGCGGGACCCAGGGGGCTGGGGCGGGACCCAGGGGGCTGGGGCAGTGCCCGGTGTCGCTGGGGGTGCTCCCCGACCTTGGCTCGCTTCTGGTGCTCTTTCTTGATTTCCAGGCTTCTCCACGGAACCTGGGTCCTGTTGCAATAAAAGGAAAAGGGTCCGTGACTCAGTGCAGCACAGATGCCCAGGGCAGCCCTTCAACCTGTTGGTGGATCAGACTGAGGCACACAGAGGTGTGAACCTCCAGCAGCCCAAGACTGTCAGGGAGGGATCTGCGGCCTCTGGGCACCAGCCCCTCCTCTGCTTCTTGAATTGCATGGTTCCGTGAGCTGACGCAGCCCCCGTGGGTTGTGGCCGGTTTCCACCAGCCCCTGGCTGTTGGGGTACACACTCCTACCTCCACCACGAGGGCTGTCCTTGGGCCCCCGTGTCCGCTAGGCTGCCCCATGCGTGTGACCTTAGTGGGAGGGTGAGTGCACCTGCCCGCTGCTCTGCACACCTGGGGGAGGGCTCGGGTCCCCTCTCCTGGGGATAAGCCTGAGACCTGCCAGACTGCTGCTGACGCAGGCGGATGCCGCCGTCGTCCATCTGGGCGCTGAGGGCCTTCAGGGCTTTGCGGGCATTTGTAGCATCATTTGGAAAGGCTGTCAGAGTTGTGCAAATTGTGTCAGATTATCTTGCTTTTTAATTTTTAAAAGAATGTGTCTCGGTTTGACATCTTGAAGAGCAGGCAGAGTACGAAGTTGTGCTCAGTGGATTAAGTTTCATGTTCCTTCGCCCTCCGGGAGGAAGAGACAAACGACGGAACAGGGAAAGGAGGGGGCGTCGGCCATATCGCACGTCGGCCTTGCGCAAGGGGCTGCGGCCTCCGCTCCGGGCAGCTGGTGCCAGGGGAGATAGGATGGTGCGATTATTCTCAATTAGATAAATAAAGAATAATTAGATGTCATAAATCAAGCAATCATAGGATATTGTCATGGGAAAAATATGCAGCTAGAATTAATTAGTTTTCAAATAAAAGCATTTATTTTAATTGCTTGAAATGATGGAGCCCTTAATTGCCGATGCATCATTTTGGCCTGAGCATTTTGGTTGTTGTAACAACGTGACGGGTTTATTCCCTGAACTTCTGGGGGAACAATAGAGGAGAACTTGATTTCATCACCTCGGAGTAAGCCTTGTGCTGGTGAGGTTCTGGAAATTCCTATCAGGCCCCAAGCAGGTAGCAAGTGCAGGCTGTGCTTTAGCTGGCACTGCATGTGTATATGTGTGTACATGCATGTATGCACATGCCCATGTGTGCCCGTGAGCACGCGCACGCATATGGTTATGCGGGGGACCCAAAAAACCCCAAAATTATCTTCTGGAGGGCAGGCCCCTTGTAGAACAGGCATCTTCTGCTAGGTGAGTGTCCTAGGAACCCCTCTGTAACCGTGTACCTGCTGGTGGTGTTGTGAGAGGCTGTGTTTGGCTTCAGTGAAATTTCTTTCAAGACCCTTTCAACGCATTTGGCCATTGCATGATGGGTGATTTACAAGTGCACCTGCCAACATCGCGCTAAGTGTTCAGCAGTTTTTGACCGAAAACGGCATGACTCCTGTGCCCAACTCTCCCAATTCACTCAATCTTGCTCCAAGCAACTTTTCTTTTTTTGTTTCCCTGGATTAAAAACATCCTCAAAGGGGAACATTTTGCTGATGTGGAAAAGGTGAAACAAAAGCCGGTGGCAGCAGCACTGAAAGGCATCAAAATGAACGAGTTAAAAAACTGTTTTGAGCAGTGGAGAAAACGTCTCGATAGGTGTATTACATTGAATGGAGAGCACTCTGAAGGTGACTGAAGTTTAAACATGTGAGAATAAATACACAGTTTTTTATAAGTAAATTCTAGGGGTTTTTGGGTCCCCCCTCATATGTATGTGCATATGTGTGTATGTGTGCATGTGAGCGGGAACATAGTGGGTGTGTGCATGTCAGTGGGGACCCCGCAAAGGTGGCCTGTTGGGCTCTGTGGCGTGGACTAAGTGGTGGGGTGCCCCCCATCCTGAGCTGGGGCTTTTGCCTAGGCTGAGGTGCTTTAGCAGGGTCTGCATTCTTGGGTTTTTCTGACTCGGGGGCCTAGCAACCCTGTGCCCATCACCAACCATCTCTTCTCATGGGGCAGGCACAGCCTGGACAGGCAGGGATTTCTGCGGGCCCAATGCGGCTCCTCTGAACGTGTCCAGCAAGCCAGCCTGCCCAGGGGTAGCCCCTGCAGGGGTTGCAGCCCTGACCTGGCAGCAGCTCTAGGTGGCTGACCTGTCCCACGCCAGAGCAGAGGCTGTGGTCAGAAGCAGTATGGTGCTAGGTCCCTCTGCTCCCCACTGGCGGCCGTTCTTGTGTTTGGGAAGAGTCTGTTGGCCTTTAACTAAAGGTGGGAAAGGTTGAGAGAGAAAGAGAGAGAAATGGAGAAGCAGACACTTGGCCATTTGTGAAGCATGTTCCTAGAGACCCCTTCCTTCTCTTTAAAACTGTGACAGAGACAGGATCTAGTGACAGAGTGGCCAGTAAGGGTGACAGACTGCCCTGGAGTCCGAGGCCGGGGCCACCCCTTCCTGGCCTTGGCCCTGGAGTATCATTCTTGGTCATTAGGACCTGGGACCCAGCTCTGCTTCCACTTGCCTCACAGTGGCCAGACCTCAGTTGGCCTGGGTGCCGTCCCTGGGTGCTGGCCTCCCACAGTCCCTCTGGCCGACGCCCCCCCACCCCCCAGCACAGGCCCCGGTCGTCTCCAGGCTCTGGCTGGTGCTTGCCCTCGGCTCTCGGGTGACCTGGAGCCCTGTGGAATCCCTAGCTGCCTCAACAGTGGCATCTCTTAGGTGTTTTGAGCCTTTTGCTCCAGTCACACTGCTCCTGGCTCTCTTCTGAAGGTCAGCTAGAAGGGGAGGGCCTGGACGCTTTAAGGAGGGGAGGTGCAGGACTTGCTGTCTGAGGGCGCAGCTGACGTGGCCCTGGGCCAGCGCCCCCACCCCTCCTGCCTCTGCTGCCTGGCATGTGCGCAGCCTCGGCCAACAGCCCCCTCCCGCGTGGGCCTCTGTCCTAGGCCTGGAACCCCCTCCAGCCCCTGGCATCAACCACCTGGCCAAGGCTTCCTCCAGGAGGGATGCTTCCTCTCTTACTTGCCCTGGTTCCTCTGGTGGCTGTGGCTGCCGTCGTGATTGGGTACATGGCTCCTCCTTGCTCTATGTATAGGCTGGAGGCAGGTGGGTTGGGAACTGCCCCAGAGCCCAGCACCCTCAGCCCAGCCCGGGCCTGCGGGCAGACAGACGTGCCCCCCAACTCTTGGAGCAGGTCACTTCTGGTTCCTCCCCTGCCCCTCCCTAGCACATGCACCCCTGCACGGTTGAGTCCCCTGCTGCCTGTGGGACGGAGGTGGCATGAGAGCACATGGGCCTCTGGAGACTGCAGGATTGGGTGGTTAGGGTGGGCTTGGTGGGGACACTAGGCAGATTCTCCTTTTGGGTGGGTGGGCCAACAGGCCTTCACCACAGGACCAGTGATATGAGCAAGGGTCTCTCATCTGTGACAGCAGCCCTCTGGGGCAGTGGCAGGGCAATTCAGCTCCCTTCCCCTTGCCCACGCACTTCTGCGCCGGCCCCTCTGCCCCTTCCGGCGGCATGCAGGCTCCAGAGCACGCCAGGCCTGAGCCTCAGGAGCCAAGGGCAGCTCACTGGACTGTCCCATCCCCAACAGTAAAGGGCGCTGCTTCCTTGAAGGGCAGCAGTGACAACTAGCCATTGTGGGTGTTCAGGCCCCAGACCCAGCGGGCAGCATTTGCAGCTCCATCTTCTGGTGCTGCTCACTCCTCTCACAGCCAGGGACTCCCGCACCCTGAGCTGGCTGGGAGGGTTAGACGGGGTGGGTTCCCTGCGGCAGGAACTAGAGTGAGGCCTGGACCAAAGGCAGGACTCAGCTAGGCCCGGAGTCAGGACAGCCGCTGCCCAGCCTGGACAAGGAGGGCCGCTCAGTGGCCAGTGGGAGACCGGAAGCCAGAAGGTGCAGCTGGTGGCTGGACTGGCATTCCCAGAGGCCAGTGGAGCCCTCTGTGCCGGGCAGGGGTAACCCCGGGTGGCATGTGTGGGTCGAGGATGGTCCCACTGGGCACAGAGGCAAATAGGCAGACGGAAGAGGGGGTGCACAGCATCCAGGGAGGCCTCCTGATGCTTTTCTGAAGGGGGACAGGTGGGTCACTCACATACCCTCCCTCGGTCCCCAGGTGACTGCACCCCCACCCAGCATGGCGGCCCCGCTATCCCTGCCACCGGACCCTCAGTTTGTCCTCCGAGGAGGTCTGTCGGCGGTGCATGCGCTGCATTTCTGTGAAGGAGCCCAGGGACAGGGACCGCCGCTTCTGCTCTCAGGGTGAGTAGCTGCTGGTGACCCACCCCAGGGACCAGCCCAGGGCGAAGTTTGGGGGGTGCTAGCAATGAGCTCGCTGCTTAGTTGGGGGTCCTTCTGAGGAGCTTGGGCTGCTTGTTGCCCGGGCACACTTTTGGAGCCCACTTGATAGGCTGTCCCATTGGGCCTCGCCCCCTTGGGGACGCAGAGCACACGCCCATGCTGTCATGGGTTCCACCCTGGCCCTGTCAGTGGCAGCCCTCCCTCCCTCTGCCGAGAGGCAGGCCCTGCCTGAGGGGCCCTCGGAGGCTCCTGCGGGCCCCTGGGAAGAGGAGCGCATGCCACTTTTACCCTTGGTCCACTCTCACCTGAGCTAACAGCTCAGCAGCTAGAACACCTGGCCCATCAGCGGCGTGGCCTCCATTCCGGCCCTGCAGAGTGTGCTGGGCCTGCCCTCCCTCCTCCTGCGCCCCCTCTTGACCCCGCGCCCACGCTTGTCCGAACAGGTCCCTGAGCGGGCTGGTGTACATCTGGAGCCTGCAGACGCGGAGGACGGTCGCTACCCTGGATGGGCATGGGGGTCATTGTGTGATCTGGCTGCAGACACTGCCCCAGGGGCCCCAGCTCCTCAGGTGGGTCTCAGTGGCAGTCCCAAAGGAGTGCTGTCCCGAAGGAGCCAGGTGTGGCCTTTGTGGGGGCCGGGAGCTCTCCAGTTGAGATCCTCGTGGCCTCCGCGGCCACTCGGCTGCCCTTCCCCCAGCAGCAGAACAGGTGTGACCTCTGCTCTCAGCCCAACCTGAGACCGTGTGTCTGGTGAGTGCTGGGTGCTGTCCCGGCTGGCGCCCACTGAGAAGGGGCTGATGAACGCGTGAGATGGCACTGTGGCCTGAGCAGAGCCTGCCTGGCCCGCCACAGCTCCCCGGGGGTGGGAGCTGCGGTCCTGAGGCTGAACTTGAGCCTCTCATTAGAGGAGCCTCAGCTTCCCTCCTGCAGACCCTGGGGCCTGGTGTCGCAACATCGTTCTGCCAGGTGTCCTTCCCCCCTGGCCATGAAGCCTCCTTCCTTCAAGGTGGTAAAGGTTAGTCACCAGGGCAGCGCACAGAGCCTGAGCTGAAAGCTCACCAGGCTGGTCAGGGAGAAGCTGCACATGCCGGTGTGGCACAGGGAGCATCACATAGGTGCCCCCGTCTGCGGCCTCAGGGCTGGCCAGCGAGGGGTCAGCAGGAAATGGTAGGAGCATTTGCTGAGGCTGTGTCAGGCCCCGCGTGTGAGGGCCAGAAGAGGCTGCAAGGGGCTGGGGGCTGGGCAGCAGGGTGGTTCTGTTCTGGCACTGCGGCCTGGGCCTTGGGGAGGTGACAGGCTGGGCACTCCAGCCAGAGGTGGGCCAGGAGGCGACAGGAAGGGACAGGTGGGCGAGAGAGCAAGTTGGGAGGGGCTTCCCTGCTTCCCCTGGTGAGAGGGAGGGACAGGGCAGGGCACAGACCAGGAGAGTGTGCAGGGGGCCAGAGCTGGTCATTGCCTGGGGTCATACTGACCTCTGCCCCCATGCAGGATTGCGCCCCAGCCCAGGAATCCACCAAATCAAAGTGCCGTTCTCCTGAACGCTCTCTGTGCCAGGTCTGGCCTCTTCTCCTGCCCTGACTTGGAGCCTGGACATCCGTCTGTGCTCCGTGGGGCCAGTGCCCAGAGGATGAGGCCTGCCGAGACTCCACTGGTCTGCAGAGCACTTTCCTGTCACACGTGGTGCACGGGGCCCTCGCAGTTTTGGTCTTTCCCTGATGATACAATAGGTGTCATGTCTGAATACCCCACTAAGCCACTTGGACCAGGAGCTGCTATTTATAAGTGTTCCCGCAGAATTGTCAGCTGCGGTGTAGGCCCCTCTGGGCATCCTGATCTTCCGGGGCCCTGGCACCTTGCACCGTCACCTGGAACCCCTGGCCGTGAGTGCACGGGTGCCTGACGCCCTGCTCTGAGGACGCACTCCACGGAAACCTGGGCCAGTGCGGTGCAGGGTGGCAGGCTCCTGGTGTAGCCTGTGAGGGGGTGGATGGCACCCCTCCTCCCAGTTGGGATGGCACTGTGGTGGCCCTACTCCAGGCAGGGGACCTGTGGGTGAGGAAGTCTACAGTGCAGACTGTGCAGGTGCTTGGAATGCGCAGGTGCGTTTACGTTGCACTAGAGGCTGTGCGCCCAGCTGTGTTTGGAAGCTGGGTCTCTCCAAAGTGGCTCTTGAGGGAAGACGCTGAGCTCTCATGTCAAGGAGAGGCTGGAGGACAGGAAGCGGGAGCGAGGGCCCCGGCCTCCGCCAGGCTGCACACAGGGCTTCAGGAAGCCCGGGGGCAGCTCCACAGACAGCCCCAGCCCCATCCACAGCCTCGAGGACGCACCTGTACTCGCGACAGCCACCTGGGTGGGTATGTCTCCTGCCTGTTTTATTGTGAGATGTAACATACTCACAGAAAAGTGCACAGGACAAGTTTGCAGGCTGCTGTTATCACAGAGCAGAGAGCTGTGTTACCACCCCCAGCAGGAAGCAGGGCTGCGCCAGCCTGCTGTCTGTCCCACCCCTGGGAGGCAGCCCCTCGTGCCTCACCTGTCTGTACCACCTGAATGTTCATCTCTAACAGGCAGAGGCCCATTTTGTCTGTGTTTTTTCCTTAACTCAAAAAAGCGGAGCCGTACAGAATAGCTTCCTGTGCATGTGACTTTTTCCACTCTGCTCTGTCTTTGTGAGACCCACCGTGCTGCACGTGGCCCCAGCGCCCGTGCAGGCGTTTTCTCTCCGTGTTCCATGGGTGTGTAGACCCAGGTGGCCTCCATTCTGTCGTCAGTGGAGATCTGCGTTGTCCGCTTGGGCCCGCTGCGGGTCAGGCGGAAGACGGCTCTCGGCTGGGCCTCCTGCGCCAGGCACACGCGTGTCTGCAGGGTGGGCCCGGAACCCACAGGTGGAACGTCCTGTGTGCGCACGCCAGGCTCTTCGGGAGCTCCAGGCTGCACTTGTTCGAGTGCAGTAAGCGCCCCCCACCCCTCACCGCCCCCCGGGGCCAGGGAGCTTCTGGGAATGGCTGTCGCTGTGCGAGGATCATCCGGGGTGACAGGCGTCAGGCCAGGAGAGAATGTGTGCCGCGTTAGCAATTAGGGCACAAGGGAAGGGAGTGTGGGAAGCCTTCCTACTGTTCTCACAGCTGCTCTGTGAGTTCAAAACATTCCAAATAAAAAGCAACTTAAAAATAGGCCAGCCCTTTGCTGAGGGCATGGCTGCCATCTTGTCCGTGAGTCAGACGCCCTCTGGCTGTGAGCGTGTCTCTCTTGCATTAGGCTCCGGTCCATCCCGTGCCGAGGACACTGCCACACCCGTCTCCCTTGTAGTCCCCCAGAGCAGAGTGTCGGCCCAGTCCCGAGGAGGGCCGTGCCGTGCGTAGTCCTCCGGATGTTCAGGCATTTCAGCATCAGCTTGGGATGCTCTCCGAAATGGAGTTGAGACTCGGAAAGGAACTGGGCTGCTGTGGGTCGGCCTGGGGAGCACAGTCATCTGCTCGACGGCAAGTCCTGGAGGCCCGAGCGTCTCCCGTGACAGGGCAGGTCTGCCACAATTGGTGGCAGCACCGGCAAGGAGACACTGGGCCTGGGCAGGCTCTCTGGTCCCCCACAAACATCCTTTTCTGCTCCAGGACCCACCTTGTCATGTCTCCTTGGTCCCTGTGGTCTGTACCTGCTCCTCTTCTTCTTGTTTTTCCAACCACAACCCCGGGGAAGAGGGACTGGCCAGCAGCTTTGTGGAATGCCCACACGCTGGGTTTGCCTCATGGTTTCTCAGGGTTAGATGGGTTCTGGGCTTTCGGGAGGAAACCTGCAGAGGGCGCAGGCTCTTACCCCACTGTCTCGGGGTCTGTGATGTCCACAGGAGTCATCCCTGGGGAGGGTCACCCTTGGTCACCTGGACAGGGTGTGTCTACAGGTGTCCTGCGTTCAGGGACATTTCTCTCTGCTTACTGGCCTGCTCAGAAATGAGTCCCTATGTCCAGCAAGGACCTTCCTCAAGGGACAGAACTTAAGAACTAAGGTGGGTCAAAGATTGTGTGGTTACACCCAAGCCTCCACAGCGAGTAGTAAGTACCTGGGGAGACGCTCTGAGGCGAGGTGCGTACCCGGTTCCTCCTTACGTTTGCCCACAAACCTCAGCACCCATTGGTGGGGTCCGCCCCCATAGTTACTGCCAGGGTGCTCTGCGGGGCCTCTATGTTTCCCACACTCCTACTTTTGGTAGAATTTTTCTTTCATTAGAATTCTGTAAGGTAGGTTTATCTCCTCTTCATTTATTTATGTGTTGCCTCATGAGTCTGGGCTCATGGAGAGCTTGTTTAGTTTATTCTTCAGTTGTAATCTCACACTACTGTTACTTTATGGCTCAGATTGTTCCAGCTTTGGCTCCTGGGTCCTTTGGATGTGCCCCCATCCTTCATTTTATTTTAAAAACATTCTTTTTGGCTGCAAGATGCTCAGAACTCATGACGGCACCACCCACCCACCCCCAACCCCCAACACTCCAGCCATTTCTCCTGAAACCTGGTTCCTGTTTTTAGAGAAAGAGTGAGAGAGCCGACCAGGGCGCCGGGCACAGTCGTCTCGGCCGGGTGTCGTTGCCTCTCGGTCCTCCCCGGGCCGTCCGTGTGCGCCTCTGTGTCTGTCTGTGTATGATTTGGATAAACATGCATTTATCCCGGCATCTCTGATTTGAATCCAAAACTGTGGGTCCATCTCACCTCTCCTGGGTGTCTTTGTGTCCACTTTTCAGAGATGGGAGAAACCTGGCCACTGCTTCCCACCACTTACGTACTCCATTCAGCCCTCTGTGTACGCAGAGCGGTTTCAGCATCGCCAGCCCACAGCCCCGTGAGAAGCAGGTGGACCGACTAGATTCCCGTGCTTCTGTACAGTTATTTTGTCTTTAACTTTGCGGTATCAAGTCAACACACTTTTCCAAAATTCCTCAGGAATTTTCCATTCCTACATTTGTTGCAGTCTGCTCTGCATCCTGGGATCCTGACGTCCTGGCTGGGTTTTTTAACATATACCCAGTAAAGTTTGCTCTTTGTGGCATCGATCTGTGGGCTTGATGATGCTAACAGCCATGTTCGGGCCACCCGGGGCCATGCAGAGCAGGCCACACCCTGCGGAGACCTTGTGGCACAGCTCTGTGGGCAGTGCCCTGTGGTCCTCCGTCCTGACCTCTTCTACAAGGCCACACCGCCGGAATCATGCGGTATGTGGCCTTTTGCCCCTGGCTTCCCTCACTTGGCAAGATGCGTCTGAGATTCGGCCAGGTGGCTGCGTGTGTCGCAGTTGCCCCTCTGTGGCCGGGTGGAATTGCATGGTGTGGATTCACCACGGCTCGTTATCCAGTCTCTCGTTGGAGAGTTGTTTCCAGTTTGGGCAATTAGGAGCAAGCCTGCCGTGAACATTCGTAGAGGGGTTTCTGTGTGAGTGCAGTTTTTAAATTCACTTGGGAGAATCCTCGAGAGTGGGATTGCCAGGCGATCAGGGTTAATTCACAAAGGGAGAGGGGGAGGGCACTTGCTTCGGCCACATAGGGGGTGGCAGGAAAACCACAGGAGGCCCCCGTCTGCAGCACACCCCTGGGACGCCCACAAGTGTGCTAGGCCTTGGGCGTCACGGACACAGACTCACGTGTGAACTCCAAGGCCGAGAGGCCGTCCTCGGCTGAGGTGCCCCTGCCCCATGATCTGGGGCAAGCCACGCCCCTCTCTGGAAGGCGTCCCCTGCCCTCCTGCGGTCTCAGGCTGGCGACAGCATGCTGACGTTTGTCCAGGTGAGATGTGCCACCCGCTCACCAGGGAGGCTCATGGTCCATCTCTCCTCTCTGGTTCCACAGTCAGGGCCGGGACCTGAGGCTGTGCCTGTGGGACCTGGCGGAGGGCAGAAACGCCGTCGTGGACTCGCTGGGCCTGGAGAGCGTGGGCTTCTGCAAGGGCTCCATCCTGGCCAGCAGCCCGCAGCACTGGATGCTGGCTGTGCCCGGGAAAGGCGACGATGAGGTGAGGTCCTGGACGCTCCGCTTCCCCTACACGGGCACGCCCATTTTTAGCGCCTGGGTGGGGGAACCACTGGGCTCTCCCCGGGACCCCGGGGAGCTGTGGGGCAGGTCTGGGTCTGTCTGCTGGGTTGCGGCTCCAGGGGCCTGTGGATGGGCGTTCGCTTAGTCACCTGTGAGATGGCCCAGTGGGCGAGAGTCAGGAAGGAGGTCCAGAGGGTGACTGGTGTCGGTAGCAGGACCACGCCCCCAACCTGGTACAGAGGGACGAGTGTCACAAAGTGCCTGGGGGAGAGCCGCCCAGGCAGACCCTCAGAGGTCTCAGCAGCAGGGACGTGTGCAGGCGCGTCCCAGCAGGACGTGGAGGAAGGCAGACCAAGGCCCGGGTAAAGCTGACGCAGGCCTGGGAGCCAGGACGGGGGGTGGGATGGGCGGGGGTGGTCTTTGGGGGAGAAAATGGGGCCCTGGTGTGAGAGGCCACAGGCAAGACTAGGGTCTGGGCCACAAGGGCGGCGACTGCAGTACTGAGGGACACAGGTGAGCAGGGGAGCCTCAGGGGATGGGCCTGGAAGGTGAGGTGTGTGTGACGGAGCCGCGAGGTCACTGTCCGATGGCGCTCACGCCAGAGCGGCCAGCAGTGGTTAGTGGGTGGGGGGAATGGCCACACTGCACAATGGTGTCCATCGCCTGGAGACAGAAGAGGCAGAACCCCTAGTGCCAGCATGGGGGGCAGATATCGGGAAGTCTGGTGGAGAAGGGGGTGTGGCTGGAGGCGCCAGCTCCCGGGGCAGCCGAAGGGATGTGGGAGAAGAACCCCACGAGAGGTGCCTGGACGGCCCAGAGAGCGTGGGGCCCTGCTGCGGGCGGCGCGGGACGGCGGACAGGAGAGGGGAGCCTCCTGCCTGCCCCCACCCCCGTGCTCTCTCCGCGTCCCCCGCTGGCCCGGAGAGCCTGCTCGGCAGGCAGCGCTGGGCAGGGACCTGGGGCTTGTACACACGGCGCGGTTTGGCCCCTGCCCAGGAAGAGCCGTTTGTCTTAAAGCAGATTCAGTTCATAAATAATGAGATAGGAACAGGCATTTATTTGTTCATGATTGCATTTAAATCACCAATTAGGAGCTACATACACTTTTCTTGCCAATTTGCCAAAAACCTGTTAAGTTTTATTAATGTGAAAAGAGAGGTGCGCTTCCTCCAGGAGGGCAGAAGCCGGGCCGCCCGGCCCCCTCCGGCCACACACGCCGGGGCTGGTCCGGGGCTGGTCCGGGGCGAGCCAGCTCTCCCGCCGAGGCCAGGGCGCTGGGCGCGGCTTCCACCTCAGCCTCCCGGGCCTCTGGCTGGCCTCGTGCCTCCTCCTGCCCTCGCCCCCTCCCTCGCCCCCCAGGCTTGGTTCTGAGGACCACTCACCCCTTCAGCTTGCAGCTGATTTTAGCCAACCTCCTGGCTCCCAGCTCTGGCAGCGTCCATGCTTTTCAGGAGCAGCCGGTCCAGGGACCTCGCACATCCTGGGAAAATGGTTATTTTCCATGTTCCCACCTGGAATCTGCCCAGACTGGGCCCTGGAAAAGCATTGCTGGCCTGTGCCCAGACAATGCCAGGGGAGGATGTGCCCCCGCCCCACTTGGCCGTCTGGGTGGCCACGCTTGCTCAAACCGAACATTTTCCCTTCTGGTAACAGAAGTTGCCGTTGAGTGCCAGACGGGAACTCTGCAGAGTCTGCGGGAGGCTCCGAGCACGGGCCACAGGGCTTGCCCTGGTCCTTGGGCCACGGCTCCTTGCTCCCCGCCCCATCACTCCCTCCACGGCCCTACCTCCCCCACCGGGGCTGCGCTCATGTCCCCCTTGGCCCCTCTCCTCCCGACCAGAGCAGACTTGCTGGGTGACTCACCCCCATCCCATCCCCTTCTTCTTGGGTCCCTCCTCACTGCCACCAGAGTGGTTTTCCTGAGCCCGAGGTCAGCATGAGCCACCCCTCACTGACCTGTGGACCTGTGTGCCAGGCATCCAAGGGGCGGACCTGTGCAGACTGTCCAGCGACATCTGCTTCCTCCGCATCCCTCTCCCGTGGCTTCTCCTTTCCTCTCCAGCCACTTAGCATCTTGAACTCAGCCCGCCCTCCTGATGTGGTGACAAAAGGAACACATTTCATTTTAAGAAATCTGAACAATTTAAGAAACAGAGTAGTGCACAGAGTAGAAAATCAAATGTCCTGCCTCTGCCATTTGGTCTGTCTTTCCAGACCACCCCTCACAGCACAGCGATGGGCCGGCTCACTCAGACTCTGTGAAGCAGCCACGGGGGGCACTGCTACTTGGCCACAGCCTGCTGCTTTGCATGTGTGTGTGTGTGAGTAATTTGTATTTGTATACGTGTACATATGTATGTACACATACGCACACCCGGCAGGGGCCCTGGCCTCACCTTCCTGGCAGTGCTGGTGCTAGGACGCTTTGCAAGCCTCTGGTGAGAACCCTGCCCAGAGCGCACCCCCAGCCCAGCTTGTGGACGTGCTGCCCAAGCATGGAGGCTGGCCTGGGGCGCGTTGCAGGGCCCTGAAGCTGAGAGGCCCAGACCACAACATCAGCGTTCCACCTGCCGCAGCTGCCCTCAGACCGGTGCCATGTCCGCGTTTGGCGGCACTGGCATGCGGACTCAGGCCTTAACTCGGGGACGCAGGCCCATTCTCCTGTGTGCCTCCGTGGGAGCAGCTCGACCACACTCGCACAGATCAGTTCACCTGCAGCGCCCCTCGCCGCGGGCTCTGTGTTTTGGGTGTCAGACCGTAGCCAGTTGTGCCCTCAACGTCCTTGGCTCCTCTGGAACTCAGACCCCTGTCTGCAAACCAGAGGATGCCTCTGTGTTGGCGAGGGGTGGCGTGTGGCCCCACAGTGGCTGCACACTGTGGCTCTGATGTGGGTAGAGCTGCTCCCAGCATGGGGAGCTAAGGGCTGGCCGAACCCCACCCTCCCATGGAGCGGTGGACTTATGTCTCATGGGATCCCCTCTCCTCTTCCAGGCCTGGCCTGACACGGTGGACAGGCCCGAATGTGAGCTCGTTGTGCAGAGCGGCAAGGCACACCTGCCGGCCCAGTTCAGGTGACACGAAATACAGCTACGACACGCAGGGTAGAGGCATGGAGCACTGGATGCGGCCAGGCTCCAGACAGAGCTCCCCATGGCATATGCCGTGGTTATTTCCTAGGCTGGGTGGTGGTTTCCAAGTGGTTCCTGTACAAGTCTTTGTACCAGTTGATGTGCCTGCGAGTGCAGAGTCGGTCACATGTAAAAGCCACAGCGGGAACAGGGAACAAGCAGGGGTCGGGAGAGTGGGTGGGCTGAGGCAGTGCTCTGTGAGCCAGGCCTCCTGCTCAAAAAGGAGGTAAAATTGGGAGAGGCCGGAGGCAGCAGCCGGGCGGGAGTGCTTCTCAGAGGGATGTGCCGGTCACTCGGGAATGACACCACGCACGTTGTTTCGCAAGGCTGGTAGCACTGGAGCCCATGAGCCTGTGCGGCCTAATTAGGAGGCTGGGCTCCGGGGTTCCTACCAGGAGCAGACAGAAACTCGCAGCGGTCTTGGCTAATCGCCTTAAAATTCTCTTGTTTGTATAGAACAGACTCAACTTGGCGCCAGCCCAAATCAACTTGTTTTCTTACTGTCAGATTCAGATTCTGGAGATGCCATCCAAGACGTCAGTGTGCACCCTGAAGCCAGAGGCAGATGCCAAGCCAGGCATGCCCATGTGCCTGAAGCTGTGGCAGGTAAGGCCCAGTGCACGTCAGCCACGCCCTGTCGGCCACGCCCGCCAGGCTGTGAATCATGCCCCATTCGGGATTTGGTTTGTCCTCGAACCAACAGGACGATTAGCCCCTTGGGAGAGCGTGTGCACTCCGATTCCACAGCGGCCTGTGTCGCTGGCAGCCCCCGCTACCCTCATGCTGCTTCGAAGGATGCTCCTACAAACTGCCCTGGGCAAGTCTTGCCACTGCTACCCTCTGCAGGCTGGGCTCGGGGTGGCGGGGGTGCACCCTCCCCACCCTGGGCCAGAGCAGTGAGGAGGGGCTGCTGGGGCAGCTGGGACGGCCCTCTCCCAGGAAGGGACTCTGCTCCTCTCCACTCCTTCCCCCACACGGGTCTGCGGCCCTGCACCGGGCTGAGAGGGGAGGGCCAACTAACTCTGCAGGCCTGCACAGATTCATTTTTGTTACTTTTTTGCCTCAGAGGGGCAGGAGTGGGCCTAATATGCCTTTCCCCACAGCCACACTTGGATCCACAGCTGTTTTCTTCTTTCTCAGCTGCTCCTTCTGATTAGCTAGGGTCAGGAGGCTTCCCCTGGGGCTGGTAACAGAAGCTGGGGGGCCAGGGGTGAGGGGGGCAGTCACAGTGCTGAGTCCCTGCGGGCTGGGTTTCTGCTCCCGAGGCCTGGGGAGGGGTCCTCCCGGGCCTGCCCACCTCCACCAGGGCCCTGGCTGCCCTGGAGGCGGAACCCCAGTCCCCCGAGGATCAACACTGACCCAGAGTGTGCGTGCCCGCTCTTTGGGTCGTTCCTGTTTGGCATGACAAAGCAAAGGGCCTGGTGTGTTCACTTAGAATCCCGGACAGCGCCTTGGCCATTGCAGACACCGTGGTTAGCAGGTCACCGACCAGTGTCCATCTCAGGAATGCTGCCGGTAGGCCATTTTCTTAGCACTGTCCAGTTGACCAGCAGCTCCTGAGGGCCACCCTGTTCCAGTCCAGAATCAGGCGTAGGTGATTCCTGCCTTGTACCTCAGTGCTCGTTTGAACTCTTCCTGAGAGACGGATGGGCTCAAGCCATTTGGAGGTGTTTGCGTGACCAACAGGATTCATGGGGACAGGCAGCCCCAGAGACCGTGTCCCAAGCCTTTTGCGCCTATAAGGACCAGAAAGACTCCCTGGCCTTTCTAGCAGTTGGTTTCCTGCTGCGGTTTCTGAGCCAACAACTTTCCGGTTGGGGTTGGGGATCTCCGGTGGCTGCTGCTGCAGTCCCCCTGAGAAGCCCCTGAGGGCGAGGAGGCGAGGCTCCAGGGTCACCTGGATGACTAAGCTCCTGGCGCCAGCAGGTTTGTGGCAGACGCTTGGTGGGAAATACCCCGCGGCGGGGAGGCTGCTGCTCGTGTGGCGCTCACAGGCCCCGGGGCAGGACGTCGGGGACTGCATCCGCTCGACTCCACTCCCGGGAAGCACTGTCATTGCATAGTCATGTAAAAATTCCTGCAGAAAAATGTGTAGAAATGGGATGTACAAACTTGTTAAGGTAATTAATATAGTTGACAGAAGGACAAATCGCGTTTTTGTTCATTGATATGGATCCAACACAAAAGTCTATGTTAATCTTAAACGTCCCTTTTTTCTCTCCAAACCTGAAGATCCAGGTTATAGCTTCTTAACCTGAGTGTGGCAGAATGGCCTGACGCGGTGTTTTTTCCTGAAGCTTCCAGATATGCTCCCGTTTCGCTCCTCAGGGAGGCCAACCCGCCTTACGGTGACAATGATCATGCAAAATGTCAGGATCAGAGTCAGGCCTCATGTGGCTCTTCGCACCGGCCCTCGGAGCCGGGGCCTCGCCGAGCCAGGGGACGGGCCTGCCTGCTGGGGTCCCCCATGCTGGCCCAGCCGCATGCAGGATGGGTCACAGAGCAAATCCTCATTGTAATTTAAGATCCTCACCCCATGGCGGTCAGCCTGGCGCGCAGTGGGTGTGGCCACCAGAGGGCTGCGGCCACAGGAGCATTGTCATACTTGCAGTCTGTCACGGGGGTGCGGGACCCCAGGGGCCCTGCGTGCTAGGAAAGAAGCTGGAGGCGTCTGCAGTGTAGGGGGAGAGGAGGCCAGAGCTCAGCATTTGGGCCCCCTGGCAACCTCTGGGTGAGCCCCGCAGGCCACTCCAGCTCCTGCCGCCCTGTAACGCCTCAGCCTGCGGGTAGGTCGGTCGGGAGCGTGGAGCCCCTGGACCAGCTGAGATGCTCAGAGCCCGGAGGCCACAGGCCCCAACCTGTGGGCCTGTGCTGTAGAGACTGACCAGGAAAAAATGTGCCAGCGATGTCAGGAGCCCTGGAGGAGGGCAGGATGTGCCCAGGGGAGCTGGGGGGCAGGCTGGGCCAAGGCAACATGGATGGGGACACATCAGAGCGCTGTCCCAAAGGGATAGACCCAGGTGGGCCCCAGACGAGTTGTCACCATCGGCCGCTAAGGTGGGATCTGGCAGGCATCTCAGTGTTGGCGCGCATTCCTGGTTGGGGTTCAGACCGCGCATCCGGGCCGTTCTCCCCGGCCCTGCCCCTGCCTTGGGTGCAGGTTGGTTACCCATGGGGGAGGCCCTCTTTAGCGGGGCTCCACTGTCTATAGGCAGCTGCCTGGGCCAAGGGCCTGACCTTTTCTTAAAGCACTCTGTACTGCAGAAGCAAGTGGTATAAATGACTTTATACCAAAAGAGCCAAAATGAAGTTCTCCCTGGTTATAAAACTACAGGGAAAGTAGACCAGCACCATCAGGGATTCTTGTGCAAGGAAGCCTGCATGCTCAGCTCCTCCCAGCCTCTGCTCCTCTGTGGCAGAAGTCACCGGGCTGTGTGCACAGCAGCTGGGGGGCTCTGTGCACCCCTTGGGGATCGCGATCTCAGGGCCAGCCTCGTGACTGCTCACGCAGCCAGGCCCAAGGGGGGCGTGCAGCAGGCAGCTCGCAGGACCCCAGGAGGGGCACCGCTTCCTTAGACTCCTCCTTTATGTTTTTATTTGTGCGAACACATATTACCACAGAAAAAAATGACTCTAAAAGCATTTTTAGAGACACACAAGAGGTGTCCACTGACCCAGCTCTGGCCTGGGAGGGTTCGCTGTGGCTGTGCCCCCGTCCCCGGCACAGCCGTGTCCTCCAGGTCGACGAGCCAGGCTGCGTCAGGTTCCCCCCGGCTCCCATCACTGACTGGGCCCCCGTGACATGCACCACACCCACAGCCTCAGTTTCCCCTCTGATGCACAGAGGACGCTCTGCTTCCTGGGTTGAGGAGGTGGTGTCCACTCATGTTGCTCACACACCCTAGTGCCTCTGGTTCAACCAGGCCGCATGTGTGGCTGAGGGAGGGTCTGTCAGAGCGCCCAGGAACGCTGTGGAGAGGCGCTCTGCGCGGGATGTGCAGCCTCTGGGCCCGGAGCCCCTCTGGTGGGCACAAGCGCCCACATGGCACATTAACAGGACCTCTAGCCGGTGGGCGAGCAGGGCCTCTGGGCTGCTGTCAGCCTGCTCCCAGGGAGACCCAGGCGCTGAGTTCGGTGCCGGCCTTGCTTGTCAGCAGTGGCCCATCCTCGAATTGCACGTGACCCAGGAGGCAGTCTCGCTGACCAGGCCCCGGCCCCCATTCCCACGGGTGACCACCGAGAGGCTGAGGGCCAGGCCTGGTCAGAGCTCACCTGGAGGGGATGTGCTCAGTGATCTCTCACACTCAAGTGAGGCCAACCCCGGCCGCTCAGCAGGGAACGCCGCGAAAAGTGAAGGGCAAAAGGCAGCAGCCGGTGTGCTCTTTGTCCCGGAAGCAGCCGGGGCACCTGTCCTGGAGGCATTTCCTGTTGGTAGGCTCGGAGGACTGGGCACCAAGCATGGTGTCGCCACTCCGGTGCCCGGGTGGCTCGGAATCCTGCAGTGCTCTTCTGGAGTTGATACAGAGGCTAGATAAACGAGGCATCTGCCCAGGGTGCAGGCCCTCTGACCTGTGCCCTCATTTATCACAATAGCTCAGCGCCGCGGCGGCTCCCCCGGCCCAGGGATCGGGGCGGGGGTGGGGGCTTCCGCAGCGACGTTGACAAAGCACAGAAAGTTCATTTTTCATTGACAAAGAGCTCACAATTTTCTCTGGTTGGTGGTTGTAGACAGGTGACTGGCCCCACCGAGGGGTGGTCAAGGGTCTCAGGCTTACAGCAGGGCCCCAGCAGCAGCCTGTGGTTCTGGTGGGCCCTGGGCCGGCGAGCAGGGGCCGGGCAGTGTTAGGCTGGGGCGTGCTAAGCTGCCCTAGAGCTCGTGCCCTCCGGTCCCGGTCCTCGGGGTGCCCCGACACCAGTCTGCGCAGGTTCTGTACCAAAGGTGCCCGCCATCAAGAGGGCGTGCAGAGCCTCCGAACTGGTACTGCTGGGTGAAGGACATGGAAACAGCTCCCCAGCTGGGCCACCTGCCGGAGAGACAGCGGGGGGACAGCCTCATCCCCCAAAACGCCCGGGACCCTGCAGGCTCTGATTTGTGCTGTTCCCCGCAGGCTGGCTCCGGCTCCCGCCCGCTCCTGCTGGCTGGCTATGAGGATGGATCGGTGGCCCTGTGGGATGTCTCCGAGCGGAAGGTGTGCAGCCGCGTCGCCTGCCACACAGAGCCCGTCATGGGCCTTGACTTTGACTCCCAGAAGGCCAGGGGCGTCTCAGGCTCCGCAGAGAAGGCGCTGGCTGTCTGGAGGCTGGACGAGCAGCAGGCCCTGCAGGTCAGCGCGCCAGACCCGGGGTGTCATTTATCCTGCTCTGCACTAACAGTCTGATGGGCCGAAACAATATTTAGGCATGAAGAGGAGTTGCTGCAGGTCGCTGGCTAATTAATCACTCGGAGGCGGGGTGCAGGCGGGCCTGTCTGCAGGGCCAGCGCAGGAAGAAGGGGGCGTGGGCGTGTGTGAACCGTTCACATGGTTTGGGTTTCTCTCAGACCTTGGGTTAATAGCAGTCACGTCTTGTCCATCTAGAGAAAAGGCATGTAGAGTCCGGGAGTAAGTACGCAAGCCCATTTGCAAAAACTCAGAGGAATTCGGTCAGTAAGGAACTGATTAATCAAAAAACAAAAATAGCCCAATGTGGAGAAATCCACGGAGTCACGCCCGGGTGGTGGTCGGTAAGCCGGCCCCAGGGAGGCTGTTCCTCACGGGCAGTGGGAAGGGAGGCGAGGCCTCAGGGTGGAGCGGGGCATTGCTGAAAACTTTCCCATGGTGTCCCGGTAAACCTCGTAGCATCCCAATGGACTTTTCCATCCAGCGGTGTCCGCAGAGCACCTGGGGGCCGCGTCGGAGCCTGTGTCCGGGGCACAGAACAAGCTGGCCCAGCCTGCTTGCTTGGCCCTGTTTGGAACGGGGGGATTGAGCTTGGGGAGAGGGAGCCTCCTATCCAGGCCTCGCTCTGGTGTGGGTCCCAGGGGGCTGCAGGCCATGAGGGATGAGATGCAGCTGGGTGTGTGCTGTGCCTCCCAGCCCCCAGAGGGTCACCTGGGTGCACACTGGCTTCTAAGGGTGGGCGAGGAGTCCCCATTAGTCAGGGAGCATTGGAAGGCTGAGACTTGACCACAGCCAGCAAGCAGAGGCTCCTTGGAAAGGCAGCTCTGTGAACCCAGGTCTGGCAGGGAGCAGGGCTCCAGGTGGTGCCAGGAGAAGTGGCAGCAGCCTGGCCCCTGGCCTCGCCTGGGCTCTCATCAATGGGACCCTGGAGGACGGGCCCTGGGGGCCGCCGCCTCTGCAGGGCTGTGTGGTCCAGGCTTCCCCCTACAGAAGGAGTCCGAAGAAGATGCCTCTTGGGGCTCTTCTCCCGGTGCGGGAGCCTTGCCAGCAGCCTGCCCAGCCTGCCGCACACTGGCCCAGACCAGAGCCCCGCAGCCAGGGGAGAGGCCCGGGGGGCACCCCTGGCACATGGCTGGGGTGGGGGCCGGGTGGGCCCCAGAGGAGCATCGGGATGCAGTGTGGTGCCCCGCAGGTATCACCACGCTCTGGCTGCAGCCCAGGGGTGCAGCATTGTCACCAGGCCATCCCAAGAGGAGCAGAGCGAGGACAGTCAGGGTCAGGACGGTGTGCCCGAGAGCAGTGACGTAAAGGTCCAAGGACAGAGGCTGAAGTCACATAGAGTGAGACTGGGAGGCGGCCATCCATGCTAGAGCTGGAGGGGCCACGGGCATCCCATAAAGAACAGTCCTGTTGGGGACCCAGGGTCAGAACCAGAATAGGCGGCGGGCAGCAGCGGGTGGGGCTGCGCACCCTGCTCAGGCGTGAGGCTGCCCCGCGACTCCGCTCGCGGGAGCTGAGGGTCTGTCTCGAGCCCTGTGAGTCATGAGGAGCAGCTGGGTCAGAGCCCAGCAAGGCAGGGGAAGGAGGGAGTCACATGCCAAGTTTGGGGACAGGGCACAAATTCACACTTCTTTGGCCTCACCCGTCCCAACTTCCCAGCCATCCCTCCTTCCTTCTGTCATCCCAGGGAGCCCACGGAGGCCCCGAAGGCAGGAGTGGTCAGACAGGCCTGCCTGTGGGGCGGGGCCAGCGGTGGGGGCTGAGCTTCCCGTGCTTCCTCCTGGAGAAGGGGGCCCGTGGGCCTGCCGGGAGTGGCGGTGAAAGTCCTGGTGGCAGTGGTCATCTCCGGGAGCTGGGGCAGAGCCGCTCTGGTGCTGGGTCTTCACGTGCTGGATGCTCAGCCGTTGAGGCAGCCTCACCGGGGGCTGGGCCTCCCCTCCTAGGGCACGGGGTGCTCCTCACACCCTGCCGTCCGCCCCTTGGGCCCCCAGAGACCCCCTCACTGTGGAGTCGAGCGCTCCACCCCCCTGTGCCTTGCACTGCATCAGCCTGACTTGGCAAAGGGCCGAGGACCCAGGCATCTCCTCTGAGCACCCCAGCCCATGCCGCGGCTCTCACATCCCGGGTCCCCAGGAGTGGGCCCTCGTGTCGTCCCGGCCCAGATCAGCCTGGTCTCTCCTGGCTTGTTCAGAAAACAGCTGCTGGAACATAAGACAAATTTATGGGGGGTGTTCCGGAGATGAACTTTTACTATACGGATAAATTGAAAAGTTAAAGCAGAGGGCATTCTTAGTGCATTGGAACATTGTAGCAGAAGGGGAGCAGTGGGCGTGGTTGGTGTGCTGGCGGCCGGGCGGGGCCTCGCTCCGCAGTGCGCCTCCTAGCAGGAGGGTGCTCCGCCCGCTGAGCACAGCCACCTCAGCGGAGATGGCAGGGCACGGCGTTGAGAGTGGGTTCAGCTCAGAGGCCCTGTAGACTCTTGGGCTGTGCGGTGCCAGCCTCTGCGGAGGAAGCATCTGGGGGGCTCCAGGCCCTTGGCGTCCACAGGCATCCTTGCCCCCAGGCCTGCTGTGCGCTGTGCCCAGCACTGCTGTGGGCGCTGCGATGTGGCTGCCCACCAGCCTGCGAGCTGCGTGGGCACAGATGTGCCTCACCTTTCGGCCTGCTGCCGAAGTCTCTAATGAGCCCAAATCAATCTCTCCCAGGCGGGCGCTGGGCGCGGAGACGCAGATGAGGTTTCCCGCAGCAGAGCGTGGGTAATGGGAACCAGATGGCGGCCGCGCTGCGCGCGCATTCCTGGCACCTGAGGTCATGCGCTGTGAGAGCCACTGGTGGCCAGGGATCCTTTCCGGAGGGGCCTGGTCCAAGACAGGTTTGGCCGGGGTCTGAGGTGGTGGCCAGGAGCCCTCAGTCACCTGGGTCAGGACTTGTGGCCTTGAGGGCATGCTGTGACACCGGACGGCTCACCTGCCTTCCGGAGGTGGCTTTCCAAAGCGCCACCAGGAGCTTGGGCCTCAGCTGTCATGAGACACAGGTGGTGCACAGACCTGCTCCTTCCTCCCACACTTGGGGCAGGGCCCACAGCCTTGAAGCAGCACTGATTTACGGCCAGCAATATTTTTAGGCCTTTAAATAATAATGAGCCCCCCCCCCCACCCCAGCCAGCCTGGACTGGGAAGCAGACTAACCACACGCTAACCCCCCCACCCCGCCCCACTGTGCCTGAGGCCGGCCAGGTGTCCCCGCTGCGTGGCCACTGCCCTCTCTCTCCACAGCCTTTCTGGGGACTTCCCTCTAAAGTGTCAGCAGCAGGACATGCAGGGCAGGTTGGAGGGAGCCCCAGGACCCTGACTGAGCACATTTCTCCTGATTTTGAATGAGAGAAAAGAGAAGTGTGGGCACAGCCCAGCCTGTTGTCTGCATCTCAGGAACATGGCGGGATGGGGCTCTGGCCACGTTCACCGTGAACACCTTGACGGGACTTCCTCTTCCTTAGGAACACAAGCCCCAGCACGGGGACCGGGCTCTCCCAGTTTAGGTCTCTGTGAAACCTCCAGCGCCTCTTTTCTTCGCCTGCCGGAGAACCGGGCCTGCACGTAGGCCTCTGCCTCCACAGGGCCGCGTTCCCGGAGGAGCTGCTAGGGGGGCGGGTGGGGGGAGCCTCTTAGCTGACCCGCAGGCAGCATTAGGTGCCTCAGCCCCTCCCAGGTGCGTGGCTGCCGGGGAGGTTTGAGAACTCAGGCTGGCTCGGGGGCAAAGTTCACAGGAGAGAGAAGGGCAGCCAGCCTCTCGCGCCGGTTCCAACTGCCATTGCTCTGGCCACGTGGCTTGGGAGGGACTAGGCCGATGCACGCCTGCACACGCGCGGGCACACGTGAGGAACTGCCTTCTCATCTGTGCGCAGGGCGTCTGCCCCCGTGGCCCCGCTCCATCCAGCGAGTGCCCATCCTGGCAGCCTGCGTGTGGAGCCGGGAGTGCGGAACCGGCTGAGGGGAAGCAGGGGCCTCCGCGAGCACCCGGGACACGGACACGCTCCGGGTGGGCGGAGAGGGCTGCGGCGTGGGCTGTGCGGGTCGCAGGTTCTCACCGTCGGGTTGGGTTCTCTTCCACTCCTCCTGGGGAAAGAATCTGGATTGTGAGATGGTGTTGGTCTGAGACTCATGGCTCTTCTTCTCAAATCTGTTAATTTAGTGAATTGCATTGTTTGATTTTTTGCAACATTAAAACAATTGTAGAGCGCTAAAATAACCTACTAAAATGTCTCCGAAGGGCTTGTTCAGGGTCGTGTCTGTCAGTAGACGGAGCTGTACCCCGTCTTCTGTTGCCTCACACTGCTCTTGGTATCGGGGTGTCAGGAGCCCCAGAATCAGGGGGCTGGCATTCCCTCCTCTGCTGGTCTCTGGACACATTGACAGGTCTTGAGTGTCTCGAGTGGCTGTGAGTCAGTCCTTGCCTATCCCCACGGGGCAGGGAAGGTCTGATTTTCTTCTCGGACTAATTTAGGTTTTCCAATTTTGTTTCATAAGTTTCATTTTTCTAGGAATTTGTCAATAGGCATTAAAACCCTCAAAGTATTTTCATATTGACTTTTCAAAAGTTGTAACGATGGTTTAAATTTCTGCTGTATTTGCAGGACTGTCCCTTCGTGTCCCTGAACAGTCGTGTCTCGGTTGACCTTCCTTTTCCTGTTTCAGCACTTCTGCACCCCCCCCACCCCCGCCGCCTCCCTCCCGTGCGCCCTGGGCTCTGCCGACTGGAGTGGGGAGCATGACGCATCCGCTCCCGGCCTTCCTTCCTCACCGCAGCTGAAGTCTGCGTCCCACATTGTACGATGTCGCCGTCTTCATCACCCCTCACTCTGGGCGGACCTGATTTTTATTTGTTCGCTGACTGCTGAGCTGATTAGAGTGTTTTTATGTTTCCAAATGTTTGATTTTTTCCCCCCA